AATCTTGTCAAGATTGGATCCTTCCCTTCAAGGAAGCAAGCCTCCTTTAGGACATGTGTAGAAATGGTATCTGGGAACCAGGGCCTGGAATTGGGGCCTCAGGACTCTGCCTGGTGCCCTTTCTTTCTGTGACTGAGTTGGTATCCAAGTTGCAAGGCAAATTCCTCTTTATTCTTTCCTCTCCTCCCTCAAGTGGAAGGAAGACATCTCTACTGGAGCTGTGAGCTGAGATGCCTGGGGCTGAGGGAGGGGTAGCACAAGCACTCCCCTGGCTGCCCTGGGTGGTGTCTCACCAGGTCATGTGTCTGCAGAGTCCACTGGCTTCAAGCCCAGCAAAGCAGCAGGACTTGTCCAGGAATTGTGGTCCTTGTGGCCTAAACTGCCTGGACCCCAGAGCACTTCATCCCATGGTGGTGATGCTTTGCCAGAACTCAGGTTCCAACAGCTGAGATGGGAGATTCTTCTCTGGCTAGGACTGGTCTAAATGCCCCCTCCATGGGTGTTGGCTAAGTTCTACCCAGTGTTGCTTTCTGCTGTGAAAGGGCACTGAGTTCCAATGAAAAACCCTACACTTACTGAACTCTTCCTCCCTCAAGTGCACAGATTCTCTCTCTGTGTCATTCGGCTGCTGCTGGAAGACTGGTGTGGGGTGATGGTGTCGGCAATTCAAGACTGTCTTTCCTACCCTCTTCAGTGCCTCTTTCAGTAATATGACGTAAAACTAGGTATTGTGTGATTGCTCACCTGGTTTTTTGTTCTCACGAAGGTGCTTTTGTTGTGTGGATGCTTGTTCAATTTGGTATTGCTGCAGGGAGGACGATCAGTGGGGGTTTCTATTTCGCCAACTTGTTCCACCTCCTTCCCTTTACCTTGTAGTATTCTTTCTCTTGTTTGCAACCTTCCAGCCACACTTGACTTCATATTCCTGGAACGCTGGAAGATCAGCACCCACTGCTGGAATGCTCTTTCCAATTCTCCCTCTCTCCTAATTTGTAGGACTAGCTCCTCTCAGTACCAATGTCACTTCCTCAGTCACATACCCCAGTCACTCATTATACGACCTAGTTTTATCTTCTTCACAGAAGTTACCACGATCTGAAATGTGTTTTTTGTTTTGTTTTGTTTTTTGTTTGGTTTGTAAGCTCCATGAAAGCAAGAAGCCTGTCTATTGATATTACTAAATATTTGTTAAAGGAATGCAGTCTGTCTGAGGAGCTCTAGTTTACCATATTTCAGTTATGGTTTGTGGTGAAACTGAAGCTACCCAGCATCATCTCTGTCCCATCTGCAGTGAACCCTGAGGTGTATGTGGTCCACAGCTTCACAAGACGGGCTTTATTTAGCTACCTCTCAATACGCCAAGATAGTAATTTCTTACTGGCTAAAAGGCAGTGCTGATTTTCTGAATTATATTAAGAAAACTGTCAATGATAAAACAACTTTTAGAAAACATATAAGCAATAATTCAATAAATAAGGCAATATAAGTTGTTTTTCATGGAATTCAATAAGGGTGTTTTTATTTTTATTAGAAAAAAACATAGCCTAAAAACGCTTTTACTTTAGTTTTCTTAAATTGCTCTGAGTAAAAACATTATTCAATGTGGTCAATCTAACAGATGGTGTTAATCCCATTTTACAGATTTTGAAAGTGAATATTTAAGTAATTTGCCAGAGTCAGAATGCTGTCAGCATCAGAATTGTATTTTCAAACTTAAGTTTATCTGACTCGAAAGCTTTTGCCTTTCACCACCACCCTATTGCTTCTAAAATGTCAAACATCGGCTGAACCACATGACAGGTATCCTATAAATGTAAGTTTATCTTTCTCATTCCCTTCCAGTAGTGCCTCTGATTCTTTCTGTACTCTGCCCCACCAGCAGGTACTGATGATTGTCTGCCATATTCTATTTCATAGAATATTTCTTAAGTTTTACCTCTTGATGAAAACACATCCCAAGTGTCTGAGAGAAGATCACTAAAATTACAACTTAAAAGAGAACTCACCCAACTGCATACGCAAAACCTCACTAAAATTGTCTTTGCTCCTGTTCGGAAATATTACTTTTCTATTGCATTCCCAGTATATTAACTGTCTAGGCCATGCGATGTGCTGTGGCAGAAAGAACGTGGGCTCTGGCGTCAAAGAATCTGGGGCCCCAGGACTCATCTCTGCCATTGACTGGTTGTGTGGCTGTGGACACATTATTATTACTTCTCTGTATATGTTTCCTCATCTATAGCTTTGAGAGAACAGCCTACCCCTTCACACTGTGGGATGCTTCCTGCCTGGCACATCATGAGCCTTCCATAAAGGTTAGTTTCCTTCTTCCCCTCACTTTGCCCCACCCTTTTGGTATTCTCTACTGTTTTAACCTTCTGGAAGTATAGAGGATGCACAGAGAGTCTCCATTTTGTATTTGAAAAAAACCTTTTAGGGCAGTACTTTGGAAAAATAAAACTTGTATGTTGAAATGAGTGCTGCATGTTCCATCGACATCCTGGGAGCTGACAGTTTTATTTCCATGATGCAGCAGTGCTGAGAGAAGTTGAACTTTGCTTTTTGGAATTGCTCTTAAAGCCAGTTTATGAGTAAATTGAGAAAGGCAGCTTCATTCCTCTATGGTATTTTTGACAAAAATAAAACAAATGTATACAGTGACAGTTTTACCATGCTCCTTATCACTGCCTTGGTTCCAAATGATCTTATTATTTTTAAAGATCAAAATGACCACAAAAGGATAAAGATGTGAAGCCAGGAAATATGTCAAAAGGCTAATGATAATTCCAAAAGATGAGTTCTACCACTGATTTGGCACAATGGGGGCAACATGGATATTTAGGTATAACCCCTCATGGTGACTATTTTACAGGATATTTATTCGGGCCAATCTGCTTATTAGATTGTTTATTTTAAACACTTATCTAATATGAAACTTAGCTGCACAAAAATATTGCAATCAGTTCAACAGGATTTACTGTGTACTTCTGATAAGCCAATACTACTTAGAAGAAATCCTTCAGATTATTGTCTGGAAACTTTTTATGGTGCACACTTCATCAGTAGTAGACTATTAAGTGTGTACTCCAAATTTCTGTATAACTTACTGATAAATTATATACTTATATTTTAATTATGATCTTAGGGTAAGCCCTCATGAATGGGATTAATGCCCTTATAAAAAGACACAAGAGTTTGCTTTCTCTCCTTTTCTCTCTGGTCTCCACCATGTGAGGTGGAGGACATGGCAAGAAGACTGCCATCTGTCAACCCGGAAGCAGGCCCTCACCAGAATTCAATCTGTTGACAGGTTGACCTTGGCCTTCTCAGCCTCCAAAACTGTGAGAAATAAATGTTTGCTATTTAATCCACCTAGTCTATGGTGATTTGTTTTAGCAGCAGAGCTAAGACAATGTATTTATAAAGTATGTGCACTGTGAAACAGATAATAAAAATTAATAAATATGAGATACAAATGTATGTGTGTGTATGTGTGTATTCATTCTAATATTTCCTTTCTTTATCCCAATGGAGTGGCTTGTATGTCTGGTGTACATGTATACATCCTGCTTTGTAGAAGATTGCTTTAGATGATACTCGTGATAAAGGGGTAACACTTCTTGTAAACGGTTGTTAAACAAAATTGTTACCTTCACATCTGTTTAGCAATATCCATTACCTATACCAAAACCAAATGGCAATGCAGATTCACCCAAAGTATAATTTAGGAAGACTAGACTTGAATGCAATTTTATCATTACTTGTCCAGAAGACAAAGCTTAATATAGTTGCTAAAAACTGCATGAGCATGAGATATTATCAAATAATGGAATGCTATGTAGACACAGGAAGACATTTCTGTAAGTGTGATATGTAAAGGAACCAAAGATACAACTTTGAGTATAGTAACTGACAGTAAGCCAACACATTCTGAGTTGGCTCTAGTTTGATTATGAGCCCTACAAAGTCTAAGACTTAAACAGTTATGGCCTAAACAGCTGTTTCCAGCCAAAAAGCCTGTTAGAGTTGCATCAGTCATCGGAGAAGCACTCACAGAGGCTTGTAACAATGATGTTACAAGAAGCTAACTATAAAAATACAGTTTTTTTTAAAAAAAAATATGGTGGCTCACACCTGTAATCCCAGCATTTTGGAGGTGGAGTGGCAGGCAGATCACTGGAGGTCAGGAGTTTGAGATCAGCCTGGCCAACGTGGTAAAACCCCGTCTCTACTAAAAATACAAAAATTAGCCAGGGGTGGCAGCGGGGGCCTGTGATCCCAGCTACTTGAGAGGCTAAGGCAAGAGTATTGTTTGAGCCCGGGAGGCAGAGGTTGCAGTGAGCCGAGATCATGCCACTGCACTCCAGCCTGGGGGACAGAGTGAGATTTTGTCTAAAAAATAATAATAATAAAAATAAAATAAATACATACATAAATAAAAGAAAAAATAAAAACAATAGCAAGAGAGAAAGGCAGGTGAGCACGAGACCATCTATCACTAACTTTGTATATGGGAGGGGGTGTTACCTCGGTTGCTGTTCATATGTGTACTCAAGTTACATGAAAACACTCATTCATAAATCCAAAAGATCTGTCAGACGAAAGATTACTCGCTATTGCTATACAATTGCAACAAATTAGTTCAAAAAATTTCTTAAAGCTCTTTTATTGGGGATAATATATGATTTTATAACGTTTTAAAGTCCATTTCGATCTACAAATTTTTTTCTAAAATAATGATCTGAGACTAAGAAGCTCGGTCTGGATGTAGAAAACTCAGTTCTTTTGAAGAAATAGCAAGGAATTCAATTTATAATTAGCTTTGTTAAATTTGCCAGTTCACATTAAAGAACTATAAGATACTAGAAATAGATAATTAAGAGAAGATTTCACAGACTGCAGTAAAAAACACTTAAAAGCATCTTTAAATGGCCCTTGATTTTAAACCAAAAAAAAAAGTATAACAAGATTTCTTGGAGTAATGTTTCTTGATTTCTTACCTTGCCATACTTCTGTGCATAAGACCCGGTGAGCAGTGAGTGAAAAACAATGATGGTTTCATCCAAATCCCAGACAAACACACGCTGAAGACAAAAAATAAATTATCAGAAAATTAAAAAGTCCAAGGAAACAGAAATCTATTTACAAGCAGAAAATGTCTCCCTTTCTTGTTAGAGATCATCTTGATATCATTTTATAGAAAATAATACTATTCCTCTTTTCTGTTTCTCAAATTTGCCAAATCTAACTCCTATAAAGCCTGAGGAGCAGGAATTATACAAATAATTATAAGCTTAAGAGTCAGATGTCCTTACTTGAATAAATTCATCCATACATTTACTTGTAGTTAACACCAAAAAGAGATGCATTCAGACTTCATGATAGAAGCATGCTTGAAACTCTACATATTTTAAAGTTTCATACCTTAGGGATTCATAAACGTTCACAATTTATGCAAAGAATTAGATTTTAAAGAAATATTTAAAAGAATCAATGAGTAACCGCTAAACAGAACTGTCAAGTATGGATCCTGGGGTCATATTAGGCCAGCAGGCATGTTGGACTCTCTGGAGTTTTGAAAGATTTCAAATTATGAATTAACATTTGAAAACTAGGCAATTTCCCACAAACTTCAGAGTTTTGACTGTAGCACAGCAACTAGAAGTTGTGGCCAGGCTGGTTGCCATTCCTACATGGCAGGGACAGGCAGGTCCCTCAGAACGTGCCTTCACTCTGAGCTCCTCACAGTCTGCTGGGCAACTCAGCCCGGTCACTCATTTATATCACCTGTCAAGTTCTTGAGGTGATGTGAACTTGCTGCTGTTGTTCAAGAAAAGGAAGTTATCTCTCATAAAGAAGCACAACGTCTGTCACTTGATTTTACGAAATCTGGAAGTTCAATTTTTTTCTTAACTGAAGTATGCAGTATGTAAGAAGTAACATATTATGGTTAAGAATAGTTTCTCCTGATGTTTTATAATAAAAATCAACCCTGCTTAGTACAGAGATATCTTAAAAGAGCTCATAAGTAGAAAAATGACATATAGTGAAATTTTCAGATACACAAATTTTAACACATATTATTAAATTATTGAAATTTGTCCTATTTTTAGAAGATGAATTTTTCTTTCTATACAAATTACTTTTATCTTTTTAAACCTAATGACCCATTTGGACATCTTTCATTACTTTAGTGCTATGAAATACAGTGCTACACAGAAAAGTATCTCACAAACAATGGCTATATTTTTAAAATTTGCCAGTGCCAATTTAGATCAAAACATGCAATGATCTCAGGCCAAGAATTTGCAGAGCCATATCATCTTTATATTGTTGTTTTTAATTTTGCTACGATAATGGATGGAATCTCAAACTTCAGAGTTGTAAAATGCCTATGACAAAGTGGGTCCATTCAATTCATTATATATCTTGTTTTTTTTTTTTGAGACGGAGTCTTGCTCTGTCACCCAGGCTGGAGTGCAGTGGTATGATCTCTGCTTACTGCAAGCTCTGCCTCCCAGGTTCATGCCATTCTCCTGCCTCAGCCTCTCGAGTAGCTGGGACTAGAGGCGCCTGCCACCATGTCCGGCTAATATTTTGTATTTTTAGTAGAAATGGGGTTCACTGTGTTAGCCAGGATGGTCTCGATCTCCTGACCTTGTGATCTGCCCGCCTTGGCCTCCCAAAGTACTGGGATCACAGGCGTAAGCATATCTTGTTTTTTAAGTTTGAAACATAATGGAACTGCAAGATAGAGAATGTATCATTCAGTAAAATAAAGCATCATACTATAATCTTTAAGAATGAGTAGGCATACCTCCAGGTCGCTATCAGGAGGCGGAGAGGGATTATTTTTCCGGCCTCTTCCTCTGGACTTTGACCCAGAACTCCTACAGGTTCTCTCATCAAGATCTTTGATGGGTGTGGAGGGACTCTGCATGGTATCGAACTCTGCTATAGATAACATGACTTGTGTCAAGAATAGTACTTCATTATTAGATCAAGTATGAGTCTTCATTATTAATTATCTTAACAAATTCCTATACCATAAAACCTCCGTATGGCAAAAAAGAGATTTATAATCCCAAGCACACACAAGTGAGTCAGAACTTTTGTAGTTTACACAAACTCCTACTAGTTTTAATCTATGTGATCTATCAAACTTGAATGTCTTTTCTATACCATATGCCTTCAACTTCCTGTCTATACCTTCACCTACATATTTATCTCCATTTAGATATGTCCTCACCTCCTTTTTTGTCACAGTTCAGAGAATGAGATGTCTTCTTCTGGATCAATTCCATCCCTCCACCTGCAAACATGACTCCCAACCCCACCTCCTAGGAAGTCACGCTTCATTAGTCAAACCCTCTCTCATCTTCCCTTAGACCTCCCCCATTTCTTGGGGTCACTGATAAGTTTAAAAGTCCTTCCCTCTGACCTGCATTTCCATCTAGATACTATTTGCTTCCATTTTCTCTTTTAAATAACACTTCTTAAAATAGTATGTACTAGTGCTATATGACAGAAATACCATGTGAGCCACAAATGTGATCTTATATAAAATTTTAAAGGTTTTTATCAGCTATGTTAAAAAAGTAAAAAGAGATATGTAAAATTAGTATTACTTATACGTTAATTGACCTAATATATCCATGTTATCATATCAGTATGTAATCAATGTGTTAATTGACTCAATATACTCATGTTATCATATCAGTATGTAATCAATATAAAATTATCAATTATATGTTTTACATTTTCTTTTTCATACTAAGTCTTCGAAATGTTGTGCAGCATTCTATGCTTAGAGCGGATCTCAATCTACACCAGCAACATTACAAGTGCTCAAGAGTCACGTGTGGCCAGTGGCTGCAGCACTGGACAGCACATCTGTCCCCACTTACTGATATCCAATGTATCATAATCTAGTTTCAGTTCACGAAAACACGATAAAAATACTCCTGCTAAGAGTCCTCAGAAATCACCTTGTTGACAAATGCAATAGACAGACTCAGTCCTTGTCTTCTAGGATCTCTGTGCTGTGTGTGATTCTCTTAAACACCACCTCCTCGAAACTACTATTTGACAGCTGATACTGTGCATTCTCCTAGTTCTAGAATCACTCCGATCAGTCCTTGTCCATCGAGAAAACATTGGTTCCTGTACTTTTCCCATTTCTTATGAGCTAGTATGTCAGAATTCCATCGTCTGATCACTGTCCTCACTCCACACAATCTAGGGGACTTAACTCTCTCATGTGTTAATGACCCTATCTGTGATGACTCATACATAAACCTATATCTCCAACTAGGCCACATCCTAAGTTTCAGACTTTTTATCTAATATTTCTGCATGTCCCATAGATACCTAAACTCTGAAATGATTAAAGCTTGTGAGCATGTATGTTAGGAGGTAGAGAGTACTGAGTAGTGGCAAACCTGTGGGAACAATTGTTAAGATAAACTGAGGCAACTGTGAGATACAGTATAACAAGCTGAAGAGTCAGAATTACTACATGAATTCAAGTATTTTAGTCAATCTCTCTAAATCTCAGTTTCATAGCAGCTTTCTGGATTACTGAGGGATAAATCTGATTTATATTTAATTTCATTTAAATTATATGTATAAAGTGAAAATTTCTAAGACAGAAGGCAAACCACATTAAATTTAAATTACATGATTTTGAAACGAAAAGATATTATGGCTATCATTTTTTATCATTAAATTTAAAAATTAAAATAAAATAATCCTGAGGACAACCAAGCAGTTATTAATCTAAATAAACAAATCTGAATGAACTAGGCATCATTTTTTCTAAGAAACAGTAATTTTTACATCGCTAACCTCTAACATTTTCTTTGGGAAACACTGCATGTCAGGACATGATCAAAAAAAATGCCTGTGCTCCAGATATTATTTGCACTTAAAATATTGCCAGCATAGTTCATTTCATAGGTCTATGTTATCACCTGGGTGAGAGTAGATAGCATAGTAATAAGGTTTTTAAGTTATGGGGTTGAATATAGCCTTGTCTTATAGTCAACCATGTTTCACCTTATTTGTATAGGCATTAAATTAGTCTTTAGGTGTCTGAATATACACCAACTTTTAAATAAAATAACATAAAAGTTCCATTTTTAATTATTTTTGAAACAGAATTTTCCTGAGGTTACTATATCCCACAAACCAAATGTCTGCTTTCAAATAAAATGGTGATTAAAATTAACCCTCACTTATAAAGCATGCATTTAAAAAACATTTTGGATGACATTCCATAAAACCTCTCGTTATAGTCATTATAGATCAATTTTCAAGTGTTAACTATCATAAGGCAACTTTGTTCCTGCCACAGTGCAAGAGCTGACAGGACAAAAACTTGAGAAATCCCAATCATGGGTGGTTGTAGGCTGAGTCCATAAAGGAGGAGTTCAGCAGGAATAATTCTGCTATTCAAATGAACTGGGATCCAGTAGCTGTCACAGCAAAGGGGTGAAAAGAGCAGAAGAGGAAAGGGAAAAGACTGTGGTTATAGGACGTATCTAGGTTTCAGTAAACCTAAGACTTTATTCCCATTGACGCTTTTCAAATTACTGAAGAATCTTAAAGGGGCTCTAAGAATTTGGACAAAAAATGGGCAGAAGTGTTTTGATGGGGGTAAAGACAGCCTTTTAAGAAAACTATGAAAGGTAACTCTACATTTATTCACCCCTTAGTACATGTCATGCACTGCTCTTTAAAATTTTTTTTTTTATTGAAATACGTGTTTGGCTTCGTTCACTGCTGTGAGATAATCCATATTCTAGCCTGGGACAGCAGTTGTCCTTTCCTTAATGTGGCTAGAACTTCTTCATGTATATATACTACACTCTATCTATTACAGTGTATCCATTCTGTTGCTGGGCATTTGAGTTATTCACAATTTTAGGTTACTATAAATAAAGATGCTATATACATTCTTGTACATGTCTTTGTGGATATAAGCTCTTAATTCCTCTTGGGTATGTATACCTGACAATGTGATTCCTGAGTCAGAAGGAAGGCATATGTTCATCTTTGACAGACACTGACCTTTTTTCAGTGTATTACTCTCTTTTCAGTGTATTAATGACCATGCTAACCCATTGCCCATTTTTATTAAAGACAGTATTAATTTACTCTCTTACCACAACGAGAGTTTCCGTTATTCCACATTCTTGTCAATACTTGATATTGTTAGTCTTTTTTATTTTCACCATTTTGGGTGTGTGATGGTATCTCACTGTGGTTTTAGTTAGAATTTTCTTGATGAGTAATTATGAAGAATACTTTTTCATGTTTCTTGTTCATTTGATATCTTCTTTTTAATGAAGTAACTGTTAGATCTTTTGCCCATTAAGAAAACTAGGTTGTTTGTCTTTGTCTTATTGATTTGTCAAAGCTCTTTGTTATGAAACATTTTATATATATATGTGTATGTCTGTATATATATGTGTGTGTATATATATCTGTGTGTGTATGTGTGTGCGTGTGTGTGTGTGTGAGACTCAAACCTTACTCCAACCAGTGAATTAGGTCCTTCATTATTGTCTTTTAATAATGGAGAAACTGGAGAAGAGGGAATTAATTTATCAAAATTAAATAGCTTGTATGATGCAACACTGGTATGATTGCAGAACTCCTGCTTTAATCATTTGGTTATACTTTCTCAGGCAAACAGCAGTGGACTCTTCAGGTTATCAAAAGGTCAAACCTAGATCTGCTTCTACTTATAAAAGAGTCATATAACAACCTAGTAGAGAGAGAGAAAATATTTGCAAACCATACATCTGATAAAAGGGTTAATATCCAAAACACATAACGAACTGAAACGACTCAATAGTAAAAAACAAATAACCCAAATAAAAAATGGGCAATGGGTTGGCATGGTCATCACTCAAAAGAAGACATAAAAATGACAACAGTTGTATGAAAAATGCTCAACATGACTCATTATCAAAGAAATGCAAATTAAAACTACAATGAGATACCACCTCACACCTGTTAAAATGGCTATTATCTAAAAGAGGAAAGATAACAAGTGTAGGAGATGCTGTGGAGGATGAAAATCTTGCACACTGCTAGTAGGAGTGTAAATTAGCACAGCCACTTAGTCTGTTTTCACATGGTTATAAAGAACTACTCGAGAGTGGGTAATTTACAAAGGAAAGAGGTTTAGCTGACTCAGTTCAGCATGGCTGAGGAAGCCTCAGGAGACTTACAATCACGGCAGAAGGGGAAGGGGAAGCAAGGCACCTTCTTCACAAGGCGGCAGGAAGGAGAAGGAAAGCCGAAGGAACTACCAAACATGTATAAAACTGTCAGATTTCATGAGAACTCACTCATTATCATAAGAACAGCATGGAGGAAACTGCCCCATGATTCAATTACCTCCACCTGGTCTCTCCCTTGACACATGGGGATTAGGGGGATTACAATTCAAGATGAGATTTTAGGTGGCGACACAGCCAAACCATATCAGCCATTATAGAAAACACTATGGAAGTTCCTAAAAACAGAACTACCATATGATCCAGCTATCACACCGCTGGGTATATAGCAAAAGAAATGAAATCAGTATGTTGAAGAAATATCCACACTTCCATGTTCACTGCGGCATTATTCACAAGTAGCCAAGATATGGAGTCAACCTAAGTGTTCATCAATGGATAAACGGACAAACGAAATGTGGTGTATGTACATTATGGAATACTGTTTGGCCTTAAAAAGGAAAATCCCGTCATTTGAGACAACAAGGATGAACTCAGAGAACATTATGTTAAGTGAAATAAGCTAAGCTCAGAAAGACAAATACTACATGATCTCATTTACATGTGGAGTGCAAAAAAGTTGAACTCATAGAAGAAGTGAGTAAGATGGTGGTTGCTAAGGGCTGTGTGGCTGGAGAGGGAGACTGGGGAACTGTTGGTCTAAGGACATAAAACTTCAGCTAGACAAGAGGAAGTAAGTTCAAGATATCTATTTTACAACATGTTAGTAGAAGAAATAACAATGTACTGTATTTCTAAAAATCACTAAGAGAATAGATTTTCGGGTTTCTCACCACAAAATGATAAGCATGTGAGGTAATGCATACATTAATCAGCTCAATTTAGCCATGTCACAATGTATATGTATTTCAAAACAACGGGTTATACACAAAAGTAGATACAATTTATTTTTAAAGACTCAAACTCCTGGACTCAAGCAATCTTCTTGCCTCAGCTTCCAGAGTAGCTGAGATTACAGGTGTCGATCATTGAGCCGATATATACACTTTTTTATTTGTCAGTTAAACAAGAAATTTTTTAAAAAAGTCACATGGGTGTTATATAATTTCTGTGAGATGGAGGGCCAAAGAATTCACTGAAAGTACTTCACAGAAGTAAAAGAGCATGTCCTGCAAAGGCCATGCGATACATCTGGGCTCCTAGAGCAATAACCTGGGTGGAATTGTACTGACCTCTATTCCTTTTGAAGGTGCTATCCTTTCTTCTGATAGAGGGTAAAACCAGGAACTTGAGCTCAACCAGTCATTAAACATTTGTTGACACTTTTTTTAAAAGGAGAAAGCTGTTAATTCCAGTGCCTGTGCCAAATTTCACTCAGGTAATTGCACAAGGGCATAGCAATGCTACAGGTAGGGAAAATGTAAATTGGCAGAGCAGTTGAATGTGATCCTTTCTATCTAAATCCTCTTGTTAGTTTCCATTAGATGAGTTAGCACTTTGCTTCCCTTCCTTTCCTTATGTGAAATACCATGAAGTTATCAAAAGGCTGCTGTGTTCTGCCTAAGAAATTGGCTTCTTTTCAGAGAGTGAAATGATCTTACTACATCCTTTACTTTTCTGGATCCCTTGTTAGGTTCAATTAGCTAATGTATTGTAACGTTTGTCAAAGTCTCAGGGTAAAACACAATAGTGTTATACAAGACTAACTGTATTTGATCTTAAAGATGTTTAAAATATTTGAAAAGGAGGAGCTATAAAAATATTTCTCATCTTCATGTGCGAATCTGTCCTCAAACTTTCATATACAAATAAAAAATATGATATACCCAATATAAATTTTACCTTAAAGAAGACCTTTGGAAAGATAATGAAGTAAAATGTCTGCTCTTAATCAGCATTGTAGTGTTTCTTTAAATCCACTGTCAAACTGCCTAATAAGGTAAATTAAATAATGGAATGCTATTTGCAATTTCCAAATAACATCAGTCATTACAAAATTGCCCTAGGCTTTTCTTGACCCAATACTATACATGATTGAATAATTATCCTTTAATCAGTACAGTAATGAATAACTGTACCTTTTAAGTTTGGGATATTTAGATCCCACTTTATTTCATTAAGCTTATCTCTAAATCAGAACAACCAGCTGTCTCTTACTGAATATAAGGTATGTTTTCATTATAAAAGTAGAATTCAACAGTAACTGTTCTATGAAAAACTGTGGGTTTCATTTCAGGTTTCTACTTTAAGTCCAAAATGCAGAACCAGTCAACGGGAAATACTTTTCTTGCCCTTGAACTAAATACATCAGATTCCATCAATAATAAAGAAAAATTCCATAGTTATAAACTTGTTTGCTTTTTGGCTGTATGCCAGATCTAAAAAGGCAAAATTAAACTTAAAACTACATTGACTGAAGGTCTGAGGTCATAGAATTCTTTAAAGATCCAGACATGTGTGTTGTTACAATTCTGGTTGAGAGAATAATATAGTTATAAGCAGAATTAATTACTTCTTTAAATTCAACAGACAGTCTAATAAAATCCGAAAATGATGTCAAACTATATTTCTTGGCCTTAGCAACCAATGGAGGCCTGATGAAATTGCAGCATTCTGATAGTGAAAGTCAGAATTCCATATGTGAATGTGTCACATCCAAAGTCACATACTCAGACTATCTACCTGCCTGCATTTAATATATTTAATATGAATAAATATCTATTTTCAATACTGATTATTCTAATAATGAAAGTAACCATCTGTGTTTTTCCTGCAGAGAAGCTTTCTTGTGATTATATGGAAATTGGAGCAAAAGCAACATTTTACACAAAGCTCTACATAGCATATACCATATCTGAGTACACAAATGGGTTTCATTCTTGGTAGCTGTAGTCTAGCAAATTAAAAAAACACTCTGCTGGTCTTGTCCGTCATTCAGTCTCTGATATCTTGATGATTAAATATATCTGTGATTTCATTTTTAAATACTCACCCTACCTTGTTTTCCCCACACATTCATCACTGACAAAAACCTTCCAATATCTCCCTTCCTAAAGTAACTGCTTGTTAAGCAAGGAATTCTGAAATCATTCATTCTTTGAATGAAAGAAGATCTTTGATGCGATGCAAGTATTGACCCAAAGAGGATCATGACAGATTTGGAATATGTGATTTGGGCTGGGGCTAATGAGTAAGGTGCCTAGGGCACAAAATTTAAGAACGAGTTCCACCTTACATTTTTTGCTCTGGGTGCTTCACTGACCTCACCCTAATCTTGGCCTTGCAAGAGGTACAGATACCCAGGGAGGCTAAGGCTAGCTGAAAAATCCCAAACAGAGAGCCCCAAAGGGACAAGGACCAGAAATTCAAAGGGGCTGTCTGTTCACAGGTAGGAGGATATAAAAGGAAGGTAAGGGGAAAGAAACTAAAATGTAGGGGCATCAAAGACAAGCTGCATCTACTAGACAATTATTCCTTGGACCCACAGGTAAAGATTATGTTCTGAACAGGGAACTACAAATCATGAATGTTATCATTTCATCAATTCATGATATAAACATATCTTGGCTGTTGCTTAAAATATCAGTTTCATTTTTACTTTCTGTCCAAATTAGTTTACTTGTTAATATCCCCCATATGACCTACCATTTTCCCTTTCTCACTATTGTAATTACTTGCTTGATCCTTGTCTTGCTTGTTAAATGGAAGCTAAAGGTGTGCAAGGAGCTCATTCACTGCTGAAATACCAGTTTCTAGCACAGTGCTGATACTTAACATGCACTCAATAAACAATCGTTTAATGGCATTGAGTCATCTTGGCCCCACTGGTCCAGTTAAAAAGAGTGTTTTACAGTATTGTGACCATGTTTCCCTATTTTCCCTCCCATCCAAAGCTGAGTAAAAAAGAAGTAGAGATGAATTTGGATCTTGCAAATAACTGAAGGCAGAAAAATATACTTGAACAAATTACTGATATTTTAAAAATTTCTTAACCTCATTTTTCTTAGTGACTTTTGAGAGTTCTTTATATGTTTCTATAATTCCTTTATCAGTATGTGCATTATAAATGCTTTCTCCAAATCTATAGCTTGTCTTTTTATTCTTATAACAGTGTCTTTTGAAGAGTAAAAGTTCTTTACAATTTTTTGAAATCTAATTTTATCTGTTCTTTTCTTGTATGAATTGTGTTTTTAATGTCATATCTATAAAATCTTTATGTAGAGCAGAGTCACAAAGATTTTCACCATTTTTTTCTTCTAGAAGTTCTATAGTTTTAGCTTTTTAGATGTAGGCTTACAATCCATTTTGAGGTAATTTTTGTATACAAGTTGAGATTCTTTCCTCTTTTGCACATAGATGTCCAATTGTTCCAGCACCATTTGTTTAAAAAGACTGGCCTTTGTATCCGGATTCAAAAATCTGCTTTCTAGCATAAATACGCCTCTGTTTCTGGACTCTCCATTGTGTTTAATTGCTCTATGCGTCTATCCTTTCACATTCTCTTGATTACTGTACATTATAAGTCTTTAAATCAGGTAATCTGAGTCTTCAAACTTTGTTCTTATTTTTAAAAATAGTTTTGACTATTCTAATTCATCCACCTTTCCTTGTGATTTTAGAACCATCTCAATAATTTCTCCAAAAAGTCCTGGAACTCTTCTTAGGATTATGCTGAGTCTCTGTTACATTTGCTTTTAACTTTAAATACTTCAGCTGTGTCAAATTATGTGTAGCAAATGCAATTTGAATACTGCAAGTTTCAGATAATGAAACACACAACGGATTTTAAATACACACTGATCACACAAAGACATTAAACTACCTACCACTGATTCTACAAATCCCAGGAATGTAGGAAATGTTCACTGGCTAGAGCTACTAACAACTTACAAAGGTGAAGGGCTTATGCAGTCTCTTTAGCATAAAGGAAATAATATCAGTCATACTCAAGGAAGATAATATTACAATTTTGTTGCAAGTTCTTCACAAAATGAATAATGAGTCTGGTAAGAGCTCCATGTTCATATGTACACCATCATTTAGAGATTAAAATCGCCTATCTATCCCATATCTAAAAGAAGGATCTTCTGGAATGCCAGAAGAGCCTCATCTTATACAGTCATGCTACCACAGATCAAACATCAGCACAATTATCTGAGAGCTTTCAGCCATGTTTTCGGAATGTCCACTTTCTCCATTTTACTAGATACTGCAAAACATATAAAAGTATTTCACCTGGGTGAAGATCTGTACCTGGTTGGTTAGTCAGTCCTGGGAGAGATTCCTGCAACTGGTAAGTAGAGGTTGAAGAGGGTGTGCCATCGGCTGTGTTATTTGATGTCATATACGCTCCATACGTTGATGCTGAGTAATACTGTGCATACTGGTTTTGGCCAAAGGCTGTATAGGATGGATAATCCTGAAACAATAATTGAGATGTGTGTGTTTGAAAGAGAAATTACTCTTTAATACTCTCCAAAGAAAACCAGTCATTACAGTAACTGAAAGACTAGTACTCAGCCCCGTTTGTTTCTGAGTCCACAGCTTTGAGGTGCTCCTAATGAGCAGAGACTACTTGGTGGGCATCTCTTACAAGCACGCAGTAGTGAAATACCCTATTGTTTTGGCAAACCAGGTCCAGTATACAAATTTTAATGTGATTAAAGTTAGCATATGCTTCACTTTGCTCCTGATAATTACTTATTCAAGCATTTACATCATCAGGACCTACGTGTTTGAAGAGGAAAGAAGGAGATGGAATCAGCTCATATTCACAAAATCAGTTCTTACATATCTTCTAACATTACCAGCAAGGAGTTGGGGCTGCCCCTCCTAGACTCCACAAAGACCTCAGTCTGCATTTTTGTGATTTTTGTTCCTTTCTGGGCTACCACTGATAATTCTGTTTTCTTGGCAGGAGGTAAAAAGTAAATAAAAGAAGATGAATATGACTTTTTTTTTTTTTTTTTTTTTTTACCCAGCCTCTCACAAACTGTATGACACCTGAGGCCTTGACTTAAAGTCTTTAGTGAACTTTTCAATTATTTAGTTTCCCTCCTTTGTTACAGAGATAAACGAAAGCACTGAATCAACACCCTTGACCTGCTTTTTATTAAAAAATTTTAAGAACCTTAAAATGATGATAATGACCCTTCAAAATCCTTTTACATAGTAGGATGATGAGTAAGGAATTGTTGTGATAACTGGTGTTTAATATATCTAGCATGTGTCAGCCCAAAATGTTATCAGTGATGACAAATCCTTGGTCATCACCGATAACATTAAGATCCCCCAATGAAATGTGTTCCAAAGGAAACAAAGATCTACATTTGACGTGGTTTCCAAAAAATAAAAGAAATAATCTTATAAGTAAATATGTATACTATCATAAAGGATTAGGTAATACGGCAGAAAACTAAAATTCTATTAGTCTGAAAATTTCAAGATCCAATGTTTCCTACTATCACTTGTGAGCCAAGAACAAAAACCTCATCATATCTAAACAAAGTTCCTAGCAATATCTCTCAAAATAAAACAGTGATAGCAGACGTACATAGTGCTTACTCTGTATCAAGACACTGTTTTAAGGGCTCAAATATATTTACTCATTTAATCCTCATAATCTCTTATGTGGTCTTAATACTATATTCATTTTACATTGAAGGGGACTAAGGCACAGAGTGGTTAAGTGATTTGCACAAGGTCACACAGCTAGTAAGTTTCAGAGCTAGATTTGAACCCAGAGTGCCTAAGTCAAACATCTGTGCTGAAGCGCTCTGTTAGCCTACTAATTCCTGCAGAAGAAGATGAGGTTACATACTGGAAAGGTCCAGGCTATTCCCCATTGGGGAATATAATGTCTTTTCATATTCAAACATATCTCAAAGATCTCCCTTTCTTTTCATTTCCACTGTCGTCCCCCTTGTCCAAGTTCCCTTTTCTTCCTGTTGCAGGCAATGTATTCATTTTTAAATTTATTTCCTCTTTCCATTTTTGACTTTCTCCAAAGACCTTGGTGGTAGAGTTATCTTCTCAAAACATAAATTAAATGATGTAATTTTCTTGCTCAAAATCTCATCATAGCCTCCCACTGGGCTTGGAATAGAATCCAAATTCCTTACTGTAAACCACCAGGCCTTACGTCAGTAGGCCCCCACCTATCTCTGCAAATGTGTTTCCGCACTTGCCCCTCATGCACTAACTAAACTCCAGCCTTTTTTTTTTTTATTCTTCATTACCAGTCATCTGGATGACTAAAATTATAACATAATTGATTTTTTTTTTTCTTTTTTTTTTTTAGTTCAGTGACACACCAAGTCTTCCATCCATCGGGGATTTGGTACACGCTGCTTTCTTTGCCTGAAACACCACTGCCCTCCTTCACCTAACTCTTAGAAGTCTTGGCCTAAATGTGGTTTCCATAGAGAAGCCTTATATAAAACCTCCCCTATTCAAATTTATACTTCAGTTGATATTTTAACAGACCCTGTTCTCTTCCTAAATCTGTATTTGTGTGTTTACTGGTTTATTTATTGTCTGTCTGTCCCAGTAGGCTGTAAGCTCCATGAGGCAGGAATCATATCTGATCCACTCCGGCCCCACCTTCGTGTACCCCAGTACACAGACCAATTACTAACACTTAATGGGCACTCAATAGGTATTAGCCAAAACAACAAACTGGTGCTCAGGCCATGGTCCCAAATACAGATTACAGTTTATATTGTGATCCATTGTATTTAAATCTTCACAGATTTTCGGATCTGTTTTATGATTAACTGTTTTTAAATAAACGTTTTTTTCCTTTAAAAATCTTTTCTTAATCCTCCCAAGTAGAGGCAGAGTAGTTTTCCCTTATAGTACAACTCTGCCTAGTGTATATTTCTGTTATAATATTCACTACATCTCACTCTCTGTCCATCTTATTTTCATATTTGTTTCTTTCAGAGGACTGAATCCTTCTAAAGAGCAGGGAACAATGACTTACCAGTTTTGAATCTTCAATCCCTAGCCAAAAATCTAACACATAGCAAGTACTCAATAAATGCTTGTTGGACCAATAAATAAACGTGTAAAATCAAGTTACAAAAAAGTTCTCAATTAAAAAAAATAAAATGTATATACTGGTTCTGATGTTTAGTGTTTTAAGACATCGTTTTTCTAACTAATGCTAAATTACAGTTTAATCCTATCAAAAATATTATTATTCCACACTATTTTAACGATCAAAATTTCCTTTCTGCCTTTTGTTATATCAATAAAACTTAAATAAAGTGATAAAATTCCTTCAGTAAATCTAAAAAGTAAGCACTTGTACAGTAACTCACATTTTAGAATACATAAATGTCTAGCAATTATACTAAAGTAAAATACTGCATTGCCAGACCAGAAGTCAGCCACTCTTCAATCTCAACTACTTCGAATGTGGCTGAAAACAAAAAAATATGGACAAAAGATTTGGAAGTGTCAACATAAATCACTAATTCATCTCACTCTAAGCTGATTCACTCATTTAGGGACATTCACTCTTATTTCATGCATAATTCTAACATGCTAGATTTTAAAACTCACAAAAATATTAAGAAAACATAATTAGAAGGAGGACTAAAGACTACCAGAGGCAGGCACAGTGACAAAAGCAAAAAGTTGCAGCTGTCAGGAAAGTGGGAATCAAACATTAAAAGTATTCATAAAACTAAAAAATAGAAAAATTATTTAAAAGCCAACAGTAGTCTTTGAGGCATTTTGTTTAGTAACAAAGGACACTTTTTAGGACTGAAAATGTTATATAGTCTGTAGCATAATCCTATAACTGATTTTAATCAATTAATACTGATTCAACCAATTAATATTCATTATAATAACTGCTTTACCAAGAAAAATAAAATTGTTTTTAGTAGTATTTTAAGATAACAGAAAATATCCAATACATTTTGTAATTCCATGCCAAATGATTAAAACAACTACAGTATAAATGTTTAAAACACAAACGTTTAACAATCAAAAAATCTAAAATAGCCAGAATAATACATATTCCAAGAATTCTAGATAGGTAATTTTTTACTATCCTGAAATGCTATAATAATTTTTAAATAAGGAAACCTTTTCCTGGGAGGGTACACACATATATGGCAACCCGAGTACTCTTCAAAAATCTGAAATACATATAAAAAGCATAAACACAAAAAGCTACTATACCTGTTGTGAACCACTGAAATTCGTTGAATTGGAAACTGAATTATTTGCATAAATAGTAGATGACGGTGCAAAACTAGAACCTACAGGTAAAAAACAAACTGCATTTTAAAAGTATTCCTTGTAAAATGATAAAAATATTTCATTTCGCAGAATTCTGTAAGAGAAACACTTTGAAATTTGTCATGAAGACAGTGAAATTTGAAGTTAAGACATTTATAAAGAAAATAGGCTTAGCTCTCTCGCTCTTGTAACAGCTGGTAAACCCTTTCCTGTTGAATCTGTTGAGCTAAACAGAAGCACATGGGAACAGTCTTCATAAGGAGTGAGGCTAACATTCAAGGGTTAAGAGTCTAGAAGTGCAGGGGTACGCAAATGATAAAATCTTACACAGACTAAGACTGCCTCCAGGAAATTACTGGACCTTTCAAATCATATCAACTGCATTTACGTACAAAAAAAAATCACTTGAGTTCAACATTTGTACAGGGTTTTTAGCGTGGGAAATAAACATACAGAACCCCATTTAGCAACTCCCTGTACTTTTGTTCCCTTTGTCTTTTCTTTAGAACAAAAATAGCTGTGAATTAGGGTTCAGACTCAAGGGAGAACTGTTTATACTACACAAATCTAGGGTTTGAGGGCCTTCTAAAACTTTACTGCAAGGTCTGACATTTAACGATTTCTCAAATCACGGCAAAAACAAGTGAGCTGCCAATTATAGGTTTCCTAAAAAAAAAAAGTCCTTATGGAATGTGCTTGTCAAAAAGTAAAATGAAAGGCTATTGAGGTAGCTGATTACTTGTTTTATCAATGTGTTTTGACTAGTCATGTGTTATGTAATCAATGCCACTGACCTGACCTGGAATAGCCAATATGAAAGTATTTGTGAAAAAAATAAAAATACTGTCTGTCACAGGGCTAACTGAAGCTGTATGAATTTTTGAGGCTACAGCATGCATTCAAATATGTTTCGACCTACATTCTAGGAAAAAAGAGCACTGCTATTCCAGCCAAATGTATCTAAATAATTATTTCATTTGAATCAATTGACCAGAATGTCATACCAGTTGGTTCAAATATGTTAATATAGCCCCAAATTTGTGATTTTCAGTATAGACAAAATGACAGATAGTAACCAGCTTTTAAAGTTTTTACTATGTCACTAAAATTCTTTTGGCAACTATTGCATTAAGATACAACATGGCTAGGCGTGGTGGCTCATGCCTGTAATCCCAGCACTTTGGGAGGCCATGGCGGGTGGGTCACCTGAGATCAGGAGTTTGAGACCAGCCTGATCAACATGGTGAAACCCTGTCTCTACTAAAAATACAAAAATTGGCCAGGCATAGTGGTGCACACCTGTAATCCCAGCTCTCAGGAGGCTGAGGCAGGAGAATCGCTTGAACCTGGGAGGCAGAAGTTGAAAGTTAGCTGAGATGGCGCCATTGCTCTCCAGCCTGGACAACAGAGCCAGACTCCATATCAAAAAAACAAAAAACAAAGAACAACAACAAAAAGATAAAACACAATTTTAATACGAGTCTAAAATTAAAAGAAATGTAATGTTCCTATATGCCTCTATGGAGGATTGGCGAGTAAATATTATATAATAGTCCTGTTAAGCAATATATTATCAATAGGAGAGAGGAATTTTAGGAATGAACAAAAAATCCTCAATTGGTCAATGATAAATGGAACTTAGAAAAGAGCTAATTCAAGTTTAAGTATAATCAAAACAGCACTACATACTTCAGGAATACTGAAAAGAAAATACTGGTTTGTGCTACAGATCTTTTAAATCGCTTAAGTAGACGTCAAACGTGTGGCTGACCTGGTGTATGGCTTGGAAGTTGCTTTGCTTGGACTTGGTTTCCTGCTGATGTTACTCAGCTTAAACTTAAGTATTTAAGTTTGGTATAGGTCCTGTTTCCTGAGGTATACTCAACCATTCCATCATGTTTCTGTCTAGTTATCTGTCTTTCTTTAGAAATTGTGTGAGCTGTGATAAAGCTTAAAACTGTCTTCATGATCAGATATTCCTAGTCTGAAGCCAGTGAGTCTCACTCAAAGAATGAGTTCTCCCAAAACATGTTTCATGTGTAGCTACTTACCCGGCATTTGGTAAGAGTAAGGTGTCTGGCCCGGCTGTGGGGTAGAAAACCCTGGGCTGTAACTGAGGCAGCCACTCTGTAACGGGGACTGAGTTTGGGAAAGTCCACTCTCTGTCTTGATGGCTGGCAACATCACACCCAAATCTGTTCAGAAAAATCATTGTGCAAGCCATTTAATTAGTAAGATGATTTTCCTTCTAAAGTGTAACCTACAATAGAATACAAAGCTACCAGCCAGCAGGATCACCTGCCTATAACCAAAGAAGAAGATAGAAGATGTGAAATACCGTAAGTGGGCAGGCTGTAGGGCTGTCCTGTCTGTGAGTAGGCTGTGTAGACGGCTGGCTGCTGCATCCCCGAATACTGAGTCTGGCCTGCATATGCAGACATTGTTTGAGCTGCTGGTGTAGAAAGAATGTGTGGATAGGGCCTAAATATCAGAAAAATAGCATTACTGTGGCAACAAAGACTGTGTATTAATTTAGACAGCCTAGATTCAGTGAAACCCTATAATATCCAGGACGTAATCCTCTTTATCCGTAATTTTAACAATATAGGAAAAAACAATAGTCTGAATGTCAGGAGTTCAGGCTCTGCTACAAGCCAGTCTAGTGACCATAGTCAAATGATTTAAACTCCCTACATCTATACCACATCTGTAAAAGCAGAAATTTGATTTAGATATTATACCTAGTGTCTCTTCCAGGTCTATAATTCTTGCTCATATCTGAAATCGCACTCCAGTTAATATGTAGATGAGGAAAATGGAGCACACGCTAGCTTTATTAATATGCTTATTAGCAAATTCACACTCACCACGAGTGACTTAATGCTATACAAAGACTACGAAAGTCTATTTAAAAGCCGTACTAAGAATTCGTTCCCAAGAATTGGAAATTTAAAAAAAGAAAAAGAAAGGCAGGAAGCTTCAAAAAAAAAAAAAAAAAGGAACATCATTCCTTTCATCATGCCACATTTTACATCATGTTCTCCATTGGATAGCCAACCTCCAGTCTATATATATGTAAAGGCAGACATTCTAGATGCTGCAGAAAATAACATACTATATTTAAATGTGTACGTATCAGCAATACACAATCTTGGCACGTCTGGCTGATTCCAAACCAATTCAGATATACACTCAATACAGTTAAACTTAAGAAATATCTACGACTATCCTCAATAAACTGACTATATTAGTTATAAAAAACAATAAAGCATATTCTCCAAAAATATGTTCATTAGAACTGGAAATCCAACAAAAGAATATCAATGATGGAACTAATTATGAAGTGTTGACATTTAGATAAAATGTAATCTCTTGAGATTTTTTAACCAGCCAGCATTTTTGAATTTGAATTAAAATGCAATGTATTCTAATTTGAGCTTGATATTTTTCTCAAGGTATATATAAATATTCAAGGGAATTATCAAGATAAACGTGGGTGTCTCTATTTCAAATTTGTACAGGATATTTATCTACATATTTAATCTATCCAAGCATTATCCAACTAACTATAATACATGTATAGACATAAATGTTTGCCAATTTAAACTTATCAAATTGTGTGAATACAGATTAATAAAGATAATGCTGGAAAAAATTTCTAATAAAACAGAAAGAATCTACTGACCACTTACTTGGAAGGATACAGCTGTGGGGAATACTGATGTGCTGATCTGGGGCTGTAGCCACTACTTGTAATTACTGTAAGACACAAAAATACCAGTGCACCAAAGGTTGCTTCATAAATACATTTCACTAGAGTGTACATAACAAATTTGAAGAAATTACCGTGTTAAACACGTTTCCAAAAATTCATTTTCTAAAAAGAAACAGCTGCCTAAACACTTTCTCCTAATTAAACTGCTTTGAGTTTTGTGCAAAAAGCATGATATAAACATTTGTCTCACAAATCATTCCCTCTATCACACTCTTCCACTCCATTTTCTCAAATCATTAGCATGCTCTTATATATTAATATGCTATGAATAAATATCTTTGATTACAGGGTAATTAAGCTTTCATAATATAAAAGTAAATTTTTAAAATTTGCAAACTTTACATTTTAAAATGCCAAATATGATGGCAGTATGTACATATCGCTCTTCCTCCATATTTGTTCTAATTGAAATACAATACAAAATAAGAAGAGTGTGATGTTCCAAACTTCGTTTTCTAACGGTACAATACGATTGTATTCTATTTCCTCTCATTTTACCAATCAGATGAACAATTAAAAATGCAGTCTAAAACATTCCAGTAATAATTAAAGAAAGCACAGGTGATTTCTTTAAAACATAATCACAAAATGCAGCAGCAATTATATTTACAAATAAACTTTGAACTATTAGAGATAATACTTTTCTGAGAAGAACTTAAAGGTGAAAGTCAGGTCCTATTAACAGTTCATCCAAACATGGAGCCCCAAACTGGAATATATCCAAAAGCTTGGAAGTTTCTCTTTCCTTTAACTATCTGCCTTGACTAAGACAGATGTTTTGCAAATATATGGACTCTAAAGTGTGAGCCAGTTCCCTTAGAGCCAATCCACACTGCGTGAGCACACAGAGTGTCTTTATTGGGCCATCTGCTGTTCATTCACTTTTCAAAAAGATTAAAGCAGTACACAATGCAGTGCTGGAATTAGTTTAGTCTAATCAATCATAGTTATACTTCAAAGTACTATGTCCTTTCTAAGTTGTTCATAATAATTCTGGAGCTAAACTTTTAGAATTGTAAAAGTGACAAATAGGTTTAGGTTGCTAACTATTTTATGAAACAAGATATATTTCTATATATATCACAAGTACCCTTGTGATGTGCTTCACAAACACACAAAATTTAATGTGTTTAAAATGCTATTTTGCCTATAAGCTCTGAATATGGAAAGAATATTTTCATTTTCATAGCAATAATACAGTAAGTATATTTTTTAAGAATATTATCAGTCAATTTTGAAAATCATCAAATTTGACTAAAGGTGTTATTTCTAAATATTTTCAGCAACCCAAACTTAACTGAATTTGATATGTATCGAAAATAAATTGAACCAATAAACTATTAATTTTCTACATATTTATTAAAACTTAAAGAATGTTTTAAAATTTTCAAATCAACTTAATGAAAACAGACTCTTTGTTCTACTACACAATGGGCATTAAATGTACATTTCATAATAATAGTGTTATTCCAAAGATAGTCATTCTAATTTATCAATTCACAATACCAAATACTCTAACAGAAATATAGTTAAATGAGGCTTAATTATATATTCTTTCATCTCTTCTTTACAGAATTTCTCCTTGGTACACTCAAGATTTGGGCCATACTAACTAGTTACGATGAATATTATGAAATAGAAGGCTTTTCCAAAGAGACACTGAATAATGAAGATAAATATTCATTATAGTAACTTCTAATAAATAAGACATAGATCAAAATTACACATTTCAGAAAAAACCCATATACACGAACTCAATTCTGAATATACAGGATGTTTCTTCTAATGATAAAACTAAACATCATTAGAATAATGTACTCACAACACTATAAAGGCTCAACTAAACTTTACAATTTTCTATTAACGTCTATATGTTCATTTTCTAAATAGAACACAAAACCTTAGACTCAGAAAACTACGATGTTCACGTAGGAAAGTTTATGCTTCTTTACTAAAACACATACATTTTGTTCTAATTCAGAAATTTGCAGATAACTGAAAAGAACAACAAAATTGGATTAAAGTGAGTGGAAATTATGCAGATCAAAGTAAAGACTGCTCTCACAAAGGACAACCTCATTTCCGGAATGATTTCTGGAATATCTTGTACAAACTTGAAAGACCTTTGTTTTATTCCCCACTGTCATTTGATTAATCATAAACATTACCCAATATACTCATTACATTCCATCATTTCTGTATACAACAGTAAGCAAACCAGCTTGTTTTTGAAATGCCCTGAAAATTAATTTAAATAAATGTTTAATGTCTACTGTCAGTTTCTCTGGTGGTGTCAAAGCAATTTTAAGGTTTCATTCTTATTATCATGCCATCTTAGATTGGTGACTCTCAGTGGGATGAGAAGTGGGTGGGGGTGAGAATTTTGCCTGTCAGGGGACATTTAAACAGTCTGGATACATTCTTGGTTGTCTTTAGTAAGACATCTTTGGTTGCTTCTTCAGTAAAGAAGCATCTGGGGGAGTGTTGCTGGCATTCTGGGATAGATGCAGCCAAACATCTTATGGTGCAGAGGACAGCTTTCCCACACTAAATAATCAGCCCGAGTCTTTCACAGTGCTGATGTTGATAATCCCTGCCCTGGATCACTGCTGTGGAATAAAACTTTCCACAGAGTTGGAAATGTTCTGTATCTGAGCTGTCCAATATGGTAGCTGCTAACCACATGCAGCTGTTAAACACTTGAAATGTGTTTAAACTTGAAAATTCAGTTAAATTTTGGTTGCTGAAAATATTGAGAACTTAACACCTCTAGTCATACTTGATGATTTTCAAAATGTATTAATATTATTGAAAATATACTTACTGCATTATTGCTGTGAAAATGAAAATAAAAAACAAAATTTTTAATTTTATCAAATTTTAATAACTACATATGGCTAGTGGCTACCTTATTGGAGAGCACATCCCTAGATAATTCTTAACAAAATTCGGAAAATATCTATAAAGATAATATGAGTGAATTTCAGACAGGATGATTGTTCATACCTATTTCTTTTTTCATCTATTTTCTGGTGGGGTATTACAGAAAGGACCCAGGGGCTGATCATAAGGACATGGTTCTAGACTCATACCATGGACCAGCTGTGAGGCCTTGACTGTATGGCCTTAACCACTTTTAACTTTTCTTATCTACAAAACGGATCAGAGAGCTCTGAAATTCCTTCTGGAGCTAACACTTTATAGTTTTGTCATTCAGCTTTCAATGAACTTGTAGTATACTACTAAAGTATGTCAGCAATAAATTAATAACTCCATTCCTTTCCTTAAAAATTTGTTCATATAGATTTATTTTGCAGAAAGTTTATAAAACCTATGGTAGGTGTGCAATACAGAATACTGAACTAGTAACTATTTATCTCCCGAGAGGCAGGTAAACTGCTAGAAAAGATGTGTATTAGTACACATGAGTCTCTATGTAAAGTTTATGTACTAGTATTTCTTTCTTGGAGTACTAATATTTACGTAAATACATGGCAACTGCTTTTAATCGGTGTGAACTAGTGAAATTAGATCATCTGTAAAAATCAAATATATGCTATAATGACATAATACTCTAAGACATATCTCAACTATTTTTACATAAAACATACTGACAAAAAATCCTTATAACATGAGAATATGGATAAATGTAAAATGTAAAATGTATTAAAGTAGAATAACAGAAGCGAGATTCAGTTACCACAGATACATTCCTATGTTTAATGTTCTTCTTTCTGATGTACCCATTCCTCCTCAGGTTAGAAAAATCCTTTCACCAGATAATAAGCCAAAGAAATATTGTAACTCAAAAAAAATTAATTGAATCAACTTAATTCATGCCCTTTGTGCCCAGCTGGGAGTTATCAGGTATTTATATTTTAAAGGGATTGATGTTTAAAGACATGCTATTGTTCTCTTTGAAGCATACGAGCACTCTCAGAGGCTGGGTTCTAATGCAACCAGCATGTGCTCTCCTGCAGCCCATTAACCTTTAATACTTGTCACTCAGCTGCTTACACAGGAGGAGTTTTTTAAACCCAGAGAGGAAACAAGGTTATTTAGAAGGAATCAAATGGATAGTTTTACATCTCGAATGTTAAACAGAAGGTAGTTTTTATGTAATTCAAATGGGTAAGTTGAAGAAGCAAGGTCAGCTACTACAACTTAATTATTAAATTAATTAAGCATGTATAAAATAATTTTGAAGGAAGTTAAGTTTACTTATCCGTAATAAGAAAGTCATGAAACTTTTGCTGTCAACTACAATATCAAGCAACACTATTCTAAATATAATTTGTAACAATGCATACTGCTTATGACTATTAGTTCTCAAAAAAATAAGAATTTGTTTCTAGCTTTATAAAGATCAAAGTTCTAAGAGCTTGGATGCTTATGCTGCTTATTCCCAAGCAGGAGGATGTGGACGCACCCCCATGTGTACGTAAGGACACACGAGCTAAAGGCTTTACCTGACCCAGTAAAAGTGTCAAGCGCTCCATCTCCAGTCGTGGTTGTGGTTTCACTGCTGTTCAAGGGCTCTGTTTTGACTGCAAGAAGAGACACTATGTAGAAGAATAAGTACATGTGAGTTTTACTTCTAAATTTATGTCAAAGACTCTGTCCGTTCTACTAGTGATTTTTCTAGCTACCATGGGCATGCAAGAGAAAACTTGAGAAGTTGATGAAGAGAGTTTGTTAATTTAGCTTCTAAAGGGGCATGCATTTAGAGGATTTAATCTAAAATCCTCTGGCCAAGCTAGTTCTCTCAAATCTGGCTTTTAAAGGCAGTCAACCTTAAAAAGTGAAACAGCAGTACACATATTTGTATTTTTAATTCACCTAAACACACTCTCACGTAGTCAATAGGAAAAAAGGAATCATCATCAGTCTTCAGCACATTTAATCAGAATTATACCAGAGAAATTTACTAGCTTATATTTTATTTTTCTCAGGAAGACATTTTTTAAGTTTGCATAATAATACAATGAAGACATATAAAAGTATAGAAACCATGGGCTCATTCACACAATGAATGAAAAATGAAGCACTCAATGAAGCTCTAAAAAACACTCATGAGCTATAAGGTGTTGGGCTTCTTATTTTTAATGGTATAACAATTTTTAATATGTTATAGAGATAAGCACAGAAAAAGAGATGACTTATACAGCAACAAGTACATCTTTTGAAAACTGTTTTAATATGTTATTTCTACATGGCAGTGGTGTATTTTGGCAAAATCATTTCTCGGTAACAAAGTGGCCTAGTACACAATATTATCATTATTAGATGCGATAAGGGTGATGGGGGTAATAATAAAGTTTTACCCATTTGGTCACACCATATTTTCCCTTTGTTGGCAAAGCTTTACTACATATATCACAGCAGCAAGGAAATAAACTAAGCTATTTCTACTTAACACCTCTTGTGTTTCCTGGTCATAAATGACATGAACCATACAGTTAAATAACTTAGAAGCAAGCAGAAAATTACAAAGAGGAAAGCTGAAGTCTAGCCAAACGGCAAAAAAGAACAGTCAGTCATAGGGTACCCACCAATCACACAAGTCAGTAATGTTATTCTGTTAGAAAAGCAATTAATTGATAGAAAATCATGCGGTAATGATTATGCTCTTTTCCACATGAACAGAATTAACCAGACCCTCAGTGAGCTCTGTGTTAATTTAGTATCCATGATTTATTAATGACTTGATCGGCTGGAAGATTCAGAGGAGAAACGTAAATGTTGGAAACAGAAAGTAAAGAAACTTGGATTGCTTTTCTTAGCAAAAAAGGAAATTCAAGTTCGACTTATCTTTCAATAGCAACAATGATCTGAAGAATAGTCTAATTATTTATATAATGATAAATAATAAATTAGTGGTTATAACTTTTCAGTAGTAATTTGCACAGTAGTCCCTATTATGGTTATACCTTATCAATCACTAAACCTATCATTACAAAATCATTTTATCACCTTTTTATTTACTACTACATAACTAATACTTATTGAGAGCTTACTACATGCTAGATGATGTACATTTAGCTAATCCTTAAAACAACCCTAATTAATACAAATCACTATACCCATTTTATAGACAAGAAAACTGAAGTGCAGTGGGGGCTGAAGAGCCTGCATAAGTTCCAGTGCAGGAGATGGTAGAGCTAAGATTTGAACTCAGGTTTTTAGCTCTAATACGCAGGATCTTTCCACCGTATCAGGCTGCCTTCAGGTATGAAAATGGCTTATGCTCATGACAATGCCTCTTCTCAAAGGCCCAAAGCATAATGAGAATGCAGTTATCTCCTAGATAGAATAATTAAAAATACCTCATTAAAAATAAAAACTGCACAATACTGGAATAGGATACTAAGGCATGTTTCCCATTTCTTCCTCTTGGGATATTTTAAAAGACAACAAGAAGTAGCAAATTTGAAATTAGGTAACAGTAACAGCACACCCTTAAAAGGCACTTGATACATTCCAGGCGTTGCTCTTGCCCTTTACACCTATTAACTGATTTACTGCTCTCAACAGTCAGTAGATAATATCATCATCTTCATTTTTCAGATAAGGAAACTGAGGCACAAAATGGTTAAATAACTTCCCCAGTCACAAAGCTTGTAAGAGCTAGAATTTGAGACCAAGTGGTGCGTGTTCAGAATCCAAACTCTAAACCATACTGCCTCTCAGGCAGCATTAGCTAATCAAGAATTCCTTTTGTCTGTATGAAGATAATGCAGAGTATAATCTAGATGGGTATAAAGGCTACTCCATCTCATGCAATGTTTACATTTGACTTCTAACATTTATGACAAAAAGGCATGGCCCAAAGCCTTCAGCAAAACTAAGAAACAGTTTATCAGAGCTTCTGACTTCTACTTGCAGCGAAATTCCTATGTATGCGTATCTAAAGCTATGAACAATATTTGCCAAAGTAGCTTCATTATAGTAATAGTAACACAGATCTTACTTGTGAATGGAGGTCGTAGAATGAGAGCTGTGTCTAACAAAACTCGTCTAGAAGCTAGACATGAAGATTAGTTTTGCTACTTTGAATTTCAACTCTTAGAACTGATTTCAAAAGCTTAGTATTGGTTTTGATTATAATCTCTTTAATTTGAAAGTTTAGGGAGGTCAAAAGGAGAAAGAAGAGGAAGGAGAGAGCAAGTTTTTGGTCTAATTCGTTATACTGGAAACATCTCTCATTAAAATTTTAAAGGTTTGCCTTTAGTCAAAGACAGACAAAGAGGTTTATTTTACTGAGAAAAGGCATCCCTGGGAAAGTATATGAAGAGAGGAGTAAAAAGCACGATGTGTTAGATTTACTAAAATGCCTGAATTTTAAAGTAATAATTCAACAAAATGGATGCTAACGTTTGGGGGAAGTGGTGCCTGTCAATGTAAAACTGTTTTTTCTATGCAAGTAAGGGTAGAACAAAAGGGAAAAGTGGAAATAAAACATTTATTCTGTCACAGAAAATAAACTGCACTCACATTAAGTGAGCACCAACAGGCACCTCTAAAGCTCGAAGTTAGTCCCAAAGTTATTTTGGTTTGATTTTTCTAAATAAAAAGCAGTAATATTAGGTAATAAGAAATAACTATTTTTTCAGCAGTAGAAAGCTCAAATAGAGAAGTGAATAGATACTCCTTATATTATTAGCTGATTTATTAAAACATGTTAGAATACAAAGAAGTATATCTTGATATTTATGTAACAGTTAACCAGTATAAACATTATAAAATAATTATAGATAAAGCTTGGAAAACACGTTATTTTCACTGAAGCTACAAATACATTTGAAATGTACGCTATTTTCTTTTATCTTGCTTTTGTTTCTGCACTTTAAATTACATCTACTATATACTTTTCTAGTGGCAGGAAACTTAGCTTTTCATTAAATATATGCAAGTCACTATTGGAAAAATGTTCATTAGTAAGACAAATTACTAATAAGTAAGACATGTTCGTTAGTAAGACAAAAATTAGTAGTCCTATTACTATTAACTTGTAAAAATCCTTATTCCAAATAATTATCAGTGTCTATTCCTTGACTGTTCAAATGTATTTTTAAGCTATATTTTGTTTTTCTTAAATTAACATGATGTTTAAACAGGGCTTTTAATTTATTTTCAGGACAGCATCCAAATTCATTACACGCAATAAGATGGAAGCAAAATCCTTCTACAGAAGACAAGCACCATATTTCTTAACCAAATGCAAGCTTACACACAAAATGTTTCGATTTCAAAGGAAACAATGATATTTTAATGTCCTAGGTTGAGAAGTTTTGTGGGATTACTATTCTATATCTTCAAAGTAAGGGAGTCAGAGCTCATTTTGCTAAAAGTGGCATAAAATTACTTTCTATAGCACTTTGTCCAGAACTGTTAAGAAATTCTTGTACTGTCAGGCCCAGCTCCCCACTAGTTAGCTACTTGCAACTTGGATGTTTTTGACAGAGCCAAATAGTAAAAATAAATAAATACACATGATTGGCTTTTCCATTTTTTTAGCTTTAAAAATAGTTCTTACATATAGACTGAATTAAGGTCATACATGATTATTGTCAGGTATCAGTAATGGCTACTAAGTCACAGATTTCCTGTCTTCACATCCCAACCTTCATCCCTACTGCCATACACTTATTTTTAAAGCATTCTTACTCTTGTCCCCTTAAATTGTCTTTAGAATTTAAGTACAACATTAATGTTGATTACTTTTAGAGAAAGTCTGTTTTATTATCATAACTCAAAGTTCATATTCATTTGTTGCAATTCAGGCTTCATCCTCGAAAGGGAACCCACATAACTTACACTTACATTTCATCTTCATAAATCAGTGTAGTTTAAACATAGATTAAGGTGTGTGTGCACCAGTTTAAGGTGTCCATTGAAAAAACTACATATATGTAATTCCACATACACTTCTTTCTGAACCCCAAAAAGCACATACAGAGGCTTTTGACAGTCTAGTTTCTACAAAGAATTTCAGAAAGTTAGATCGGGAAAGTTACAATTTATAACACTGCAGGGAAGCAGTAAAAGTATTGCCTACTGGTTTTAATAATCAGTATAGCCTATGATTTATGCTTGTTTGAATCAATATATTCATTCAGAAACCTATGATTACCAAGTGTCTTTCATTCCTAACTACCCATAAAGTATTTAATTTTGTAAAATAATTTGATGAGGGCATTTATGACTTTTATTCTAAAAAAAAATCTCTACAAAGAACCGACCCACAGCAGTAGGTAGCTCTACTGCACAAACACTAATGCATTACATGTGAGTCAATCGTCTCTACAGTAAAAATTCTAGAAGATTCTTTTCTATATTGCTTTCAAATATAGAAAAAAAAATAAAGCTGATCAGAATGTCTGATTTCTATTCCCCCAAACCTTTCCTTTGAAGTCATTTCTTAATCTCCATGTAGAATCAAATATTCCCTCCCTCCACTGTTCATCCACCTTGAACACATTATGGCATTCATTATTTTCATGTCTGCTTCTCTCTGCTAGACTTTTGGTTCCTGGATGGCTGGTATCGTGTTCTTTAGGTCACTGGGTTCTCATTTCTTAGCATAGAACTTGGCATATAATAGGAACTTGATACACTTCAATTAAGTGAGAAAGTGAAAATTTACTCTTTTAGATCCTGCCCTAGCCCTCCCAATAGACTTAAGTATTTTTGTATATAAAGTGTAGTTCATCACGAATCCTGACACCATTAAGCAAATTAGAATCTGGAATTACCTATATCTGGAAGTAAAGGTTTATATGATTGGCATGCACTCTTATATGTACAACATAACTTATGTATACGCATATAGATCTATATCAGGAGTTGTGCCAAATCTGACTCATGGTCTGTTTCTGTATGGTTTTAAGCTAAGAATGGTTTTTACCTTTTTAAATGACTGAAAAACATCAAAAGGAGAATATTTTGTTACATGAATATTTTAATGAAATTCAAATTCTGTGTTCATAAGTCAAATTATTTAAATACAATCATGTTAATTTGTGTAGGTATTGTGTATGGCTGCTTTTGTGCAACAATAGCAGAGCTAAATAGCGACAACAGAGAGCAGACAGCTCACAAGGCCTGACCTCTGCTTTATTTGCTAAGGAGAGCTTGCATTTATGCTATCTTCATATTTTACACTTTAATAATTTTACAAGTGCTAAAAATATCAAAGGAAAATCTATATTCCATATAAATCTGCAGATGTAATTACATAATAAAGATTAAGGTAGGGAAACACCTTAAATTACTTTCAAGAATATTGCAACATACTTAAAGAGTACCAATATAGTATGATAAAATCTAAAGGTGATACTATCAACTTATGTCAATTACAAAAAATTAGGCCGGGTGTGGTGGCCCACGCCTGTAATCCCAACAGTTTGCGAGGCCTAGGTAGTCAGATCACCTGAGGTCAGGAGTTCATGACCAGCCTGGGCAATATGGTGAAACCCAGCCTCTACTAAGTAAAGTACAAAAATTATCCTGGTGGGCGTGGTGGTGTGTGTCTGTAGTCCCAGCTACTCATGAGGCTGAGGCAGGAGAATCACTTGAACTTGGGAGGCGGAAGTTGCGGTGAGCCGAGGTGGCGCCACTGCACTCCAGCCTAGTAGACAGAGCGAGACTCTGTCTTAAAGAAAGAAAGAAAGAAAGAAAGAATCTTTTTGAACATCTCAAGTTATTGGAATGATCTTGAAAAGCTATTAGTTCTTTTCTTTTGCCTTTTGTTTTATTATAATTTTATGAAGTGCTACAATTCCAACAATAAAAACCAAGAATTGAAAATAAAATAGTTTATTCTTAGTAGAAGAGATCACACAACAAATGCTTAGTCTGTGTCACAAACGCCCACCATAAAAAGTCATTGACATTCAGCTGGGCACGGTGGCTCATGCTGGCAAACCCAGCACTTCGGGAGGCTGAGGTGGGTGTATCACAAGGTCAAGGAGATCAAGATCATCCTAGCTAACACGGTGAAACCCCATCTTTACTAAAAATATAAGAAATTAGCTGGGCATGGTGGTGGGTGCCTGTAGTCCCTGCTACTCTGGAGGCTGAGCAGGAGAATGGGGTGAACCTGGGAGATGGAACTTGCAGTGAGCAGAGATCCTGCCACTGAACTCCAGCCTGGGTGACAGAGTGAGACTCCATTTCAAAAAAAAAAAAAAAAAAAGTCACTGAAATTCATTAAAAGTTTCATATAATACGCTACCAGGACTATATTATTAATAATCAAAGTTTAACATTTTGTTACCAAAAGTTTGCTTTCTTTAGCCCAGTTTACACATTTCTAAATGCAAATAAATTTATCTGACCAAATGGAGAGTCTGTTAACACAATGCATATTTTCATTTCCCTTAAAAAGCTTTTGCCTATTATTGCATTACTAATTAAAGAAAGGAAGATATACTGAATTTATTGCTAAGCAATTTATATACATTATCTAAGACAAAAGTCATGCCAAGAAGTACTATTATCATCCTTTTATAGAAAGGAATTGAAGCTCAGAGAGCTTAAGTAACTTGTTCAAGGTGATACAGCCAGTAAGAGTAGTGCTAAGATCCAGATCCATGGTGGCCCTGACAACACAACTCCTTGTTTTTCTCCTATGGCCTCACGAGTTTTAATACTGACATTAAGAACCAGGAAAATTTGATGCTTACCACTTAGAAAAATGTTTCTGGTTGAGATTAGAGGTAAATTACTATTGATTGCACATATTCACTATTATAATGTTGCTTGTGTTAACCACTATTTGAGAACAGACCACAGCCAGTAAGCTAAGAACATTTTTTTACATATTAAATGTTTAAAATGTTGTCAAAATGACAATATTTCATGACACATGAAAATTATATGAAATTTAAATTTTAGGGCTCACAAGGTTTTACTGGAACATAGCCACACTTATTCATTTACATATTTTCTATGGTTGCTTTTGCACTATGATGGCAGAGCTGAGCAGCTGAAACACAGACATGTGACCTACAAAGCTAAAAATATTTACTGTCTGGCCCTTCACAAAAAAAGATCCTCCTACAGAATTAACAGTATCTAAATTCTAGCAACATATTTTTAAGTATGAAAAGTATATTTAAGTATAAAATTGAAAAAATTAAAACTAAAACTATACAAATACAAATAATGAGCAAATTGAAGTACTTTTTCTTCACTGATCATATACTCTAATTTAGTCGGAGATAGAGCAAGGTCCAGCCAAACTGTGCCTATTCTAACTGTTTGTTTGTGATACACATTTCCAACAGGCATGAGCTCCTTTTTGATTCTACAACTGGGTGGTGCCACAAAAATGTGATGGCTTTGTTTTATTTGATTTTTTTAGCATATTAGCATTTGATTTAAGAGAAAGTTTGTTAATATGTGTGTAAGTATGAACGTAGTTAATATCCACAGTACAAAAAAATTTAAAAGCCAGTATTAATTTCTAATTTTAAATGTATAGCTTTCATCCCTGACAATTTTTAAGGTGAGGGGATACTGATTATTAATGTTACTTTATATACATTGGAATAATTCTCAAAATCTGTAGAGTAGAAAATATCTTTTGCTTTATTAAGAATTTAATTTAAATTATGAAAGTCTATGGATTCCGAAGGTGATGAGGTTTGTATGCATGGCCACTCTGCTTCAGTCGCTCTATTTGACATGGCAGTTGTTGGGCAAAATTAATCATGTAATAAAACTGATAAATAGTGAGAAAACTAATATATGCATCATTTAGGTGAAATTATGAAACATTTAAGAAAAGAATACTACTGACCTAAAAAAAATCTAAGAAGACAAATTGATAAAAAATCATAACCAACTGCTGTCAATAAACAACTAAAAGGCATGTTCATTTTTCCTTTTTCAGTACTGAACACAGAAAAGAGATGCAAACATAGACATGGCAACAAACAGCAATCCAGAGGGGCAAATCCACACACCCAAACACATGCAGTGTACCAGCATCTCTCATACTTGTTGCAGAAGAGGGGGTGTTGCAACTCAGCAACCAGTCTGCTGTGTTTAAAACAGTCATGTTGTCCCCTAAGAAGAGGAACAGTATAAAAGTTCATTGTCTGAATGCCTGCTGATATGAATAATCTTCAATGCTTGCACTGGTTTCTGAACTTTTAGCCAAAATTGTAACTGTACTGTATGACTTTAACATTTTAGTTTATCAGGTTTGTTTCAGTTCAAATATATGCATCTGATGATTAGTGAACTTCACCAGTCTGGTTCTAGAGTGCTTGAGTTTTTAAATTTTATTATTTGTACCCAATTTAAGGTTTAAATGTACCTTCCTCCAGTTTTCATCACTAAATATTCTATACATTTGCAACTGCATAATTAGATGAAATTACAGATGCATGTTTAGAGACAAATAAACATCATAAACAAGGAAAATGTTAATCTACAAGGGAATTGGTGTAAAACATTATTAAATACAGGTAAGTTGCAATGCACACAACCTTACAAAGAAAATTTTAGATGGCATCGTTATTCTAAAAGAAATGGGAAGAGGTGTATCCATTTCATAGATATTTATTTAAAATTTAAAAGAAAATATGATGTGGCAAATGCTAATATCTGACAATACAGTTTTTACAAATTAAATGTCATATAATTCTAAATTTATTGGCTAGATGGATCTACAAAATTTCAAATTGTGAATAATTTAAAATACAGTCTATATATAAGTGTGTACATAATGTCTCTATAAATACACATTCTGATACAAAAATTGGATCACATTTTCTGACAGGTTGAATATATTTTATAAAAATAATAAAGCAGAATATCTGAAGTAATAGCTATTATTGTTGCCATATGCTGTGGCATAATTACAGGCTAATAGAATGAGAAATTATCTGAAAAAAAAAAGCAATTCCTTTTTAAATAAATGTTAGGTGTTATTCTGTTTGAAAAGAAAATGCAGCAGATATTAGTATTTTTGTATTTCCAAAATCACGTGTTTTTTTTTTTTATAAAGCACTTATAAGAAAAAACATTTTTAAGAAAAACGTTGAGGTAACCTTTCTTTATAATTCAAAACAAAACCAAAAAGTTGTGTGTGTACACACACAACACATATAGAAATTTTTGCTAACACCAGGGTGGAAATCCTTTGACCTCAATTTCTAAATTTTGTGGAATATTTATAAGGGCAAATACAAAAAGAAAGCCTTGCTCAAGGCCCTTGACATGTTGCTCAATGCTATCTATTCTCTGTGAAAGTTCCCAGCTATAGAGGAGGAGCAAAAATTTCAAGAAAATCATCAAAACAATCAATATTAATTATATATACCTTGGATAGAATGTTGATTTGTGTTATTGATAAGAAGATATTTGTTTATTAGCAGATCCCTAAGAAGTAAAATTAAAGCAAACATTGAAATATGATTCTGGGTATCTTCAGGGTAGTACACTTACCTCCTGTCCCATTTGTAGTAACCGATGTGCTGCTGAGATTAGATTTTTCCAGTTTGGAGCTACCTGGAGTATCACCACCTCCAACAAGAGTATGAGGACTTGCTAGGTCCTGCATGTCCATAGACCTGGTAGAGCAGTAAGCAGCAGAGAAGAGTTGAAATTGCAGCAGTTATTTTTTAATAGACTACAAATATTATTCTATTGACCACGTGATCTCATGGTAATAAAACCAGTATCTAAGACTTAGTCAACCAGATGAACATGCCAGTTCATTAGAAGCAAACATACATACAAACAAACAAATGCATAAATAAATAAGAAAAGCTTCCGTAGTAAGTTAAGCCTCATAACCTGTTTGTAATAATATAACATATTATAACATAATATGGAAAACACATTACTAACATAAAAATAAAACATATTATGTTATTACTAACATATAGAAATAACAAAAAATAATCCTATGACTGTTCCATACAATACTGTAAGAAAAAATGCAAATTCCGTCATCTTGGCAATTTAAGCTGATATACATACCCATCCTCCTAAACTGATCACCTTAGCTACACACTAGAGAGCTGAAAATGTTTAATTCCCCAAATTTGGCAATCCCTGCCACCAATAATGAAGAAATCAGTAGCTAGAAATAAAGTGTGAACTCAAAATTAAACGGAAGCTTCCAGCTGACCTTGTTGACCCAGGGAGCCGAAAAATGAGCCCAAGTCCTGAGAGCTGGTTTTGTAACACTTTTGGTATAAATTCAGGAATAGGGCTTTGACTTATGTTTGCTCCAGGGATTGTGCTACAATTGGGATAAAATAAAACTGTGATTCTTGAAGGGCTGACCATCTTTTGAAAAAGAAACTAGAGGCCGGGCGCGGGGGCTCACGCCTGTAATCCCAGCATTTAGGAAGGCCGAGGCGGGTACATCACGAAGTTAGGAAATCTAGACCATCCTGGCTAACACAGTGAAACCCCGTCTCTACTAAAAATATGAAAAAAAAAAATTAGCCGGGCTTGGTGGCAGGCGCCTGTCGTCCCAGCTACTCCAGAGGCTGAGGCAGAAGAATGGCGTGAACCCGGGAGGCGGAGCTTGCAGTGAGCGGAGATCGCGCCACTGCACTCCAGCCTGGGCGCAGAGCCAGACTCCATCACGGGGGAAAAAAAAAAAAAAAAGGAAAAAGAAAAAAGAAAACGAAACCAGGAAAAAGAACTGTGCAGTAGCCCAAAGAAGCTACACATGCTTTCATGAAAGAGAGAAACATACAAGATAAATAAAAGTTGAGAGAATTTCTGACCAACAACCTGAACTATAACAAATACTAAAGGAAGACCTTCAGATCAAAGAAAAGATACCAGACTTTTGAAAACTCAAACCTACAGGAAAGAATACAGAATAACATAAATGTAAATATATAGGTAAAGATAAGAGATTATCTTTTATTTTTCTCTTAATTCATGAAAGACAGCCTATTGAAGCCAACATAATTGCATTATATACATGGACTTATAATATAGATGTAATATGTGACAACAATAGCAAAAAGTGAGGTGAAATTATATTTTTCGAGGTTCTTTCATTTGGCATGAGGTGTTATATTAAATTTGGATAAGAGGTTAAGTTTAGGGTACATGCAGTAATCCGTAGCGTTAAATGTTAAGAAAAATACCATCAAGTATAACAAAAAGCCAACAGAACGATTAAAATAGCATTTTAAAGAATTCGATTAACCCTAAGAAGCCAAAAAAAGAGAAGGAAACAAAGAATATATATGAAAAAATGGAAAACACAAAGCAAGATGGCACACTCGAACTCAAACACATTGATGATTACACTAAATATCAATGAACTAAACACTCCAATGAACAGCCAACTATGGTCAGATTAGATTATACAACCAAGACCTAACTACGGAGGATCTACAAGAGAAGCACGTTAAATATCAGCATATTGTGCTACTATAGTACACTGCCCAGACATCCTGAAGAACTCATTCCCATAGCTGCTCAGAGTGTTACCAACTGGCAGCTTTCAACTGAGTTCCTTCCCAAAACTTGCCCTCAACTAAAGAAGGTCACTGTGCCCAAAAGCACACTCTTTCTGAGGGCAGCCCTCATCTACTGACTGGTCAATGGAGGGGTAAAATGACTATTCCCTCTTACCCTAAGGGTCACCATAGTCTCATAAGACTAGCTGAGACCTCTGTTGCAACGGTACTACAGATCAACGTCTCTTAATCCAGCCCTGCTTCTTTCACGCCCCTCAAAAGGAACTAATACTCAGAGCACAACCCAAATAAACTCCTGCAGGAAATACTTCAGCATCTGCATCCTGGGAACCTGAAAAGTGATTAAGGCCCAAATAGGTGGAGGGTCAAAGAATGGAAAATGACATACCACGCAGATAATTAACATAAGAAAGATGTTCAAGCTAATATTACATCTCATAAAATGGGCCTCAAGATGAAGACTATTAGCAAATATAAAGAAAAGAATTGGAAAATGATGAAAAACAATAAATTATTCAAGAAGACATAACATGTGCCTACAAGCAGATGTTACAGAATACATGATGCAAAAACTGACAGAATTAAAGGAAGAAACAGATAAGTCTATGATCATAGTTGGAGCTTTTATGACACACTTTTCACAGCAACCAACAGAAGAAAAGTAGACAAAAACAAATTTTTAAAAATATACACGTAAGATTTGGAAAGCGTTAACACCAATGTGACCTAATTGACAGTTTCAGGACACTAATACCCAGTAATGATAAAATGCACACTATTTTCAAGTGCACATGGAACATCTACCAAAAGGATAGACCTGGGCTATAGCTGGGCTATAAAGTAAATATTGATAGATTTTAAAGTTGAAATGTTACAGGGTATGGTATCTGATCACAATGAATTAATTTAGAAAGCAATGGTAATAAGATATATAAAAAAATCCCCAACATTTGAAAATTAAACACTGCACTTCTAAATAATTTGTGAACCAAAGAAAAAAAATACAAGTAAATACAATAAATATTTAGAACAAAATGATAATGAAAAGATATCAAATCAAACTGTGGTGTGCAAATAAGGTAGTGATTAATGAGAAGTTTATATCTTTAAATGGTTATATTAGAAAAGAAGGATTAAAAATCTGTGACCACTTTAAGAAACCAGAGGAAGAAAAGGAAATTAAACAGAAGGTAAGTAGAAGGAAACAATAAAGAGTAGAAATAATTGAAACAAAATTTGTGAACAATAGAGAAAATTTACATATTCAAAAGATGATCATGAGAGATACTGATGATTTTAAAAGGGTAATAAGGAAGTATTATAAACAATACTATGCCAATTAATTCAAAGACACACAAAATCAGTGAATTTCCTGAAAGATACATTTATAAAATTTGACCTAATTAAAATAGAAAATGTAAATAGTCCTGCATTGATTAAAAAACTGAATTCATGATTAAATATTTATCAAAAAAACCTCCAGGGTCACATGGTTCAATTAATAAATACTAGCAAACTTTTTTGCTACTATTATTTAAAAAAAATTTAAAAAACAATTTTTTTTTTACAAATTCTTTCAGAAAAAATAGAAGGAAACACTTTTCATTCCATAGTAGGAGACGAGAATTACCCTGACCCCAAAACCAGAAAGGGACAATTTTAAGAAAAGAAAATATGGATATATAATTTTTATAAACATAGATGAGAAAATATTTAAAATATTCTCAAATCAAACCCAGCAATAGAAAAAAATCATGACCAAGTGTGCTTTATGCCAGTAATGTAAAGCTGATTTCACATGTGGAAATCAATGTAATTCAATATATTAACATAATGTTATTTCCATGAGTGCAAAAAAAATTTGACAATATTCATCATCCATTCATGATACAAACTCTTGGCAAACTAAGAAAAGAAGTGTTTTTCCTCCATCTGATAAAAGCACTCTTGAAAAATCTATAGCTTATATCATATTCAATGATGAAATACTGAATTATTTTGGTAGCAAGTCAAAGACATCTTCTTTTCCTACTTCACCACAATATTCTACTAGCAATCTTAGCCAATACCAGACAAAAATAAAGAAATAAAATAAGCAAAGTTTAGAAAGAAGAAACTTTAATTCACAAATGATTTAATGGTTTATAGAAAAAATTCTGGGACATTCATCCCCCAAATCCCCAAACTACTAGAACTAATGAGTGAATTTACCAAAGTTACATGTATAAGGACCTTGCCAGTACTAAATAAAAATATTAACTAAAACATTATAACTTTAGTCAATGCCTCTCTAGTTCAAATATTGAAATATCAAAGCAGTGATTTTTTAGAGGGATGGAAGTTGGGCTAATCACAGTCCAGCTCCAGTTAAGTTCAACAACTTTAGGAAGGGTCTCAATGAACAGATCCTCACCTTAACTGCCAGAGGAAAGAACTACCACTTTTTGGGGAAATAAAACACAAAAGAAATATTATGCTTCAGTCTCTATTGATTTATTATATATAATGTTCAGAACATTATAAATATTTTGTGACCTAACAAAAAGCAGAAAAATATGACTCCTAGTGGACAGAAAACACAGTAAATAAAAGCAGACCTGTATATGACCCAAGTGTTGAAACTAGCAGATAAGGATTTTAAAACTAATGTGAATATATTAAGTAACTTATAGGAAAAGATACACACACAAGGTATATAAATGTCTATATGCCATATATAGGTATTAATATATACATATCTGCCATACATACATCTGTCATATACAGATCAATACATATATGTATATAATATATATAAAATATATATGTATTGTTAGATATGAGTTCTAAATTTCTTTTCAAAGAATCAATATGTCAGTATGTTCAATTCTTTGCCTTCTACTTTTAAACTTAACTTCCTCATAAGGCAACGTTTTTCGATTACCTGCTCCACCCTGGCGCATTTCAATCACCTATTCCACCCTGACTCATTCCAATTACCTGCTACCTCCTCCGCCCTGACTCATTCTCCACCCTGCATGACCATTTTTTCCCACCAGACAACTCAACCTGTCACTCTCTTTAAATTAGCGAATCGGAATTAGTTTAGCCATCTAACCCTAGCCAATAGGGGAAAG